CTAAAAAAAATACTCAACCTACACACGATGTGACTCCAGAACACATGTATGTGTTAGTTATAGGGTTTCAAAATGATAGATGATGATTTTTTTTTAACTCAGACTTGAGATCATGACTGCCATGAGCACTTTACTGCATCTATACCATCTTGTCTTATGACAATATGATCCTTACTGCTTAAAGGATACACAACTCATATGCAACTACAAGGAACGCTACATTACTTTCGAAAAGTGTGTCCTGTGTGTGTGTGTGTGTGTGTGTGTAAGAAAAAAATGATACACAATTATGATGCAAATGCATATCTCACCTAAAGCCAGATGTAGCCTGTGCCCAAAACACCGGGGCCTTATCCAGTTATTAAGAGATGCTGCTTTTCAACTTTTAAAATGATTTTTGTGATAAAAATTGACCGCCAGGCACATGTATGATTTCATAGTTCGGCTTGATTGTCATATGCTGTCACACTTCTGCCTCAGCTGCAGCTGCTGGACACTCAACGCCAATGTGTAAGATTAATTTAGATAGCAAGACATGGTAAATAATAGTTGTAGTACGGCGTTGGGTAGCGTTTGTCTAGTGTAGAATCAATCCCTTGTTTTGCACACACAGGAGAAAGGCAATGACTTTGGCTTTAACTTATAGACAGAGACCCATTATGTTTATCCTTATTCTATGTCATATAATGTCAGACTGATGACAATTTTAAATAATCACATTATCACTGTGAGCAGAAATCATTAGGCTTCCGAATACTCTCTTTCCGGCATTGTTTTCCTAGTTTTGCACCAAGCTGACATCAGCTCGTGACCAATTTGTAACCAAGCACATTACTACAACCTTTGACATAACATAGCTTATGCTGCTACATGTAGCTACATGCTAATGTCAGGGAACCATGTAGGCTTGGTTCCCGAATAGTGCGGGCGATGTCTACCAAACTGGCATATGACGATGACCACCATGAAACATCCTGATGGAAGATGACGTTGTTTGGGAGGGCAGGGCAAAAATATGCATTAATCAACCACTCGAATTGGACCCGACTTGCAAACTGCCAACTTAATGCATTACAGTAGCACAACTGTTAGGACTGAGACAAGGACAGAGACGAACAGGACAGTGCTCTCGAAGATGTGTTTGTGTGTGTGTGTGTTTGTGTGTGAGAGTAAAACAGAGATGGGAAGAGAAGGTGTAAGGTGGACGGTTTCATGCAGTATTAATAACTTACTCAGGTATTAATAACTTACATGATGTCAGGCTCAGTGGACAGTGACTGACAGCCACTGGCAGTCCATCAGCCAAACCGTACTGCAAATGTTAATTTCTCCCTGATTTTGGATCACATTCCTACTGGAACATGTCTGGTTGTGAATCTGAATTAGAAGCTTTTATCGGCAATTTTTTAAGGTAGAAAGTGACAATATATTCCGACCTGCAAGTGCTGACCAATCAGAGCAGATTAGGCTTCCTCGTGAGGGGGGCTTAAAGCAAAGCCAAAGCAAAGCCTTCTAAGACAGAGGGTGGATACAGGTGTTACAGCAGTTATAGTTAAAGGAAAATTAAGTGTTTTTAAAGAAATGAAAGCATGAAAACAAGTTCTAGTAGGAGCCTGAAGTAGTAGTATGAACCTGAAAATGAGCACAATAGATCCCCTTAAAGTCAAATCTTTTCTTTCTGCCGACGAGAGATTGTTGGGTATCAAAACGAACTGTATGAAGCTCCACTTATGGATGTTTATGAGGGTGGGTGACATGCTTCTAAGGTGAAGTTGCCTTGATAGCTGCTTCATTTGATTTTTCAGACAGCTTCACATTTGCTTGTGTGCAGCCCAAGTCATGACATTTTGCTTTGGGCTTACGACTCACTACTGTTACAGATATTACAATATAATTTCAACATGTGATTTTCTTAACCTCCTGAACACAGTTTGGACTGAGAATGTATTTAAAAACTGTGGCCTGCAGATTTCAGCGCTGTCTCCTTTTCACGTGACGAGAAGAAACCACAAATGGCAGTTTCAGACAAAAAAAGAAGAAGCAGAAGGAAAATGGCGCCCACTAAATATAAATTAAGGCTGAAATCACCGAGTTTGATTTGCATGGGGCTAGAATTATCAAGGGACAGACTGTCTTCGTCATAACATGTTGGTCACTTTTGCTTTACACAGCACATTCATGGAGCATCATAACCACAGGCTAAAGCTGCAATTATTACTAATCACAGTAATCATCCAATGGCCAAGTTAGCCCTGTGTAGATAACGTGCATGACCAAAATCCTGGATTCACAGTGTTAAATCATCAGCACTGCGGAGGTTGAGAGCAACAACTCCCTGCAAACAGATGTGACTGTTGTTACTTTATTTCCTTTATCACTTTAAAATGCAGACGGTTTTAAAAAACAGCACACAGTTTGGTCTTCCCCACTGCTCTGTCCCCCTATAGTAGGAGGAGTTTGACATTGTGTAGGCGTTTAATCAACAATGGATTGGGTAACACTATCTTTACAGGCAATATACTGGCTGTCTTGATTATATAACCGTCCGGGACTGACATGTCATGATAAAAATGTTCTGCTTTTCCTACCTGACATATGAAAACCACCAACTGTTGAGAGTATCAATTCATGTCATTCACATGGGGCTTTACGGAGGGAGGGGTGGACTATTTAGAGAAGCAGAGTGTAGGTTTTAGAGGAGTTATATTCCATACGCTCTGTAATTACAAGATATAGGCCTTAAATTACAGAATATACAGTTAGGTTTAAAAATGAAACACACGGTCGGGTTAAAGTTTGTTTACCTCCAACATACTGAAGGCATCAATATAAAAATCTCCTCCTAACAATTCCCAAACCGGCTTCCTCTCCTTAAAGGGTCTGTTAATCTCTGTCTGGATAAAAGCTGAGCTGCTGGTCACACTGCCAGACATGTTTCATGACTAGAAATATTGCTACAGGCCATACGTGTGTTTGAGTTTCAACAGTGGCTTAAATTATGTCATATAAGCTGCCTTTGCATAAAATGGCAGTTTGGTAATATTCCATACTTGAATTCCAGTACAGCAGGCTTATACCCTGCCCTCCTTATATCCAGCCTTATACCGTTTTCCCACCAAAATCAGCACGTATACTCAGGGTTTTTTAAACATGGGAAAACCCATTAAAAATAGGTGATAAACTGCTTTCACAGAGCCAGAAGACAGGAGCCATGGACAGGGCTCTGCAGATGAGTATGCCTTTCTGGGGTTTTTTTTTTGTGTGTCACATTTGATGTCTCAGACAGGCCAGAAAACAGGTTTGTAAACAGTAGAAAGCAGCATGGGGGCCAGTGGAAATGCCACGGTGGTAACTTCTTTTTTTTTTTAATGTTTTTACCTATTCAGACTCTCTCTCAGACTTGGTGCCAACTAGATTTTAAACGATGTTTGAGCATTGAAGTACATCATTGCATTGCACTGGGAAAGGAGCTAATTTCAACTGGAACGCCCCTCGAAGTCAGATTTCAGTTGGAGGATCCTCACCAACCCTGACCTCAAAATCCAAGATGGCTGCTCCATGTATCAACAGTAGTGAAAACTGAAGAATTATACTGTTTAATAGCACCTCTGTCTTATTTGTATCTCATTAAAACACATGTACAGAAAGTGCTGTCCAAATTCTACCTGTGTACATGTTGGTACAGTGTTTGTACGCGCAAAATGCAGAATGCAAAATGGCGTGACGTCATTCTTAGCTGCTGCCTCCAATTTACGAGGTAAATGAAACGCAGCATAAAATTGGCGTGTCCAACCAGGTGTCATGTTTCCATCATAGCTGATCGGAACTGGAGCCGATATATATACACATGATTATTGCTGAGTTATTTGACCGAAAGCCTTTTGTAACCTTCCCTATTAAATACAAAAGCCAGATGTTAGTAGGTGTTGGTAGGTTTTGTGTACAGTGGGAAATAGGCTTTAGTTTTTAGTTTTTAAGCAAAAGCAGAAGCAAGTCTAAAAGGTTTCATTGATGAGAAAGTCATTCCTCTTATGCATCACCACAGAAATGTTTACTGTAGTGATCCATTTTCTCCAAAATTGAGTATTTTCATCTCATTTCATACTGTACTAATGGTGGATGGCAACCAGAATTGTAGAATTGTCCATCGACACTACAATTGGCATCAATTTGTTTGGCAGAAAATACAAAAATTAAGAATTATACAACAAGTTTTCTACAACAAGATTCTACATCATTCCCGCGTCTCTCAGTGTTTTCAGCAGCAGCCCTCCATATAAACTAAGTCGTTGACAGACTCAAGTCTCTTCATGTAAACAGCCGCTCTTATTCCACTGGGGCCTCCCTCATAATATCCAGCCCACTAGCATGTTTACAGTAAACGGCCGCATGGTAAAGCTGTTAAAATGCACCCTAAACCACCACCCTCCCCTTACACTGCCCTCAGCCTCTCTGCCTCTGCTCGCAGTCCTATTCATTTCCCTCTCAGGTCACAGTAGTTAGTAAATGTCAAGTCTCACCAGGCACTAAGCCGCTCTGCCAGAACACTGATTGTTTTAAACAAGAACCTTTGACAGATGTACCCTGCCAGAATGTCAGGTGGCAAAGACAAACTTAAAAGCCTCAGCTCAGGCTTTATCAACATTTGGCCGGTGGCTGGTGTTAATTTCCCACCCTGGTTGTATTACTTCAGCTGGGAAAGTGACATGATGTGACGGGTGTGAAGGCCAGATGTGGCCCACCGGCCAACAACTAACATTTTAGATTTATGTCGATACTCTGCGTGCTACAGCAGCTGACTGTAGGATATACTCTAGGGATTAAGCTGATTCTCCACAGTGACAATATGACTGCAAGAGTCAAAGTTGCAGACTTTTATGGGACTGAATCTCCCGCAGAAACATCCAGTTGCATGTGATAATACATTAAAAAGAGTGCAACAGAAAAGCATGCCAAGCAGTGGAGCAGGAGGTATACGAAGAAATACAAAAACATCCTACCTGTCTGAACTGCTCCTCGTAGGTCCATTCTCCGTGGTCCTGGCCGCCCAGATGGCTGTGCGTGGCGTGGGGAGGCAGGATTGCTACGCGGGCCTCCTGCTCGACACTGGGACGGGCCTTTAGCAGCTGGGAATGAGGGTGGAGTTGGCGGTGGGGCAGCAGAAGGATGCCTTTCCCAGGAGCCACCGCATCATGGCCCGTCGGCAGACCCTCTTCCGACAGGTCGTCATCAAAGTCTTCTTCCATCTCGCCTTCAAAGTCTTCCTCGTCCCATTTCTGTTTGCTGTGTGTATTTAAAACAGAATATTGTTAAAAAATACATGCACTGATGAAGAACATCACTGGCACAGATTCTAGAAATTCAGTACTCACATCTGCTCCTCCTCATCTGACCCCATCATGTCCTTGTAATGCTCCTCGCCATCTTCATTGTCATCGTCATCACCTTCGTCCTCGCCACCACTGCTGCGATCTGACATGGGGCTGTCTGATACCCTCTGCAGCCCGGCCGCGGCGGCACGCATGGCCGCCAGCGCTGCCATCTGGGCCTGCTCCGCCTCAGGGGCCGGGCTCCCCATCGGCTCATCCCCTCCTCCAACAATTGTGAGGACCTGAGTTTGTTGGGCGGCGGCCTGCTGCTGTAGCTGCTGCTCCATCAGCAGCTTGGCCCTATGCTGCCTGTGCAGGTTCTCCATGACAGCCTGCAGCTTCATCTCCGGGGAAAGCAGCACGGCGTTCAGCTGCCTTCCTTCCCCTCCCTCCCCCACTGAAGGTGCACCACTCCGGAGTCAGTCAGGGGACAATGGACGATGATCCTTCTGCCCAGTAAGAATGAATGCCAACCGTGTCTGTGGTGAAGCAGCGAGCAACTGGCCTGAGGTTTGGAAGTTATGGTTATGAAGTGGAAGGAGGAGGAGGAAGAGGAGAGGGGTTGGTCAGAGCTCTGAGAAAAGCCGGCTGCAGTCCTGGAGAAAGAGGCCTCTCTCCTGTCTCAATGGTTTTTCCTGCAGTTGGGGGGAAACTGAAGCCGGCAGCAGAGCTGAGTCGCACAGAGTTCAATGAGGCACGGGTAGCGGAAGCGAAGGTAGGAGGACAAGAGTATGCTGACAGGCTACAAAGACCTACGGGAGAGAAAGAATAACAGAGTCTCAGACTGCTACTTCCCCACTGTCTGTTAACATTCAGTACCTTCAGTTATGGCAGCGTCAAAACTGTTTAACAACTTTCCCCAAAGCCACAGATAATATATCTCTATATTTAAACTTTGTGGACATCTTAAACTCTCGTTTTACTGATTTATACTGCTCAGATTAAACAAATAAGCTTAATTTGTTTATGTTGTTTTGTTTTTGCTATTGCGTTGGCTTCATTCTGTCAGTTTTGCAAACCCCCACATTATAGACAGAGATAATCCAAGTTACTGGATGATGCAGCAAGAAAAGGCCCAGCGCATTATTTGAGGAACTTGATCAGTCACTTTTAGATTCATGACTATCAAGAGCTTGGCTAAAATTTTGTTAAACTTTTGGGAGTTGCAGCAAAGCAGAAAAGTACAGTGATGACTACAGGGCCACCCTGTCAACTCAAATCATAACTCAAGAAAATGTGGCAGAGAAGAAACTACCCAATGTCACACACATAAATGCTAATTTCAGTCTGAAATCCACGTGAAGCATAAAGGCGCAGTCCCTGAATGGACAGTTGTGCAACACGTGCAGGATTACTCACACAAACAGGCCAGACAAGCCGCACGCACAGGACAGAGTGTTTAGCCTCGACAACAAGAGGAAGTGAAATCACAGGAAGAACCGTCACTTTCTTCACCTGGTTGGTTCGAAGCCAAGATGAATTTCAGCCCGCCAGCAAAGTAGAGTGTTAGTCAACATTGTCTCATCTTTATTGTCTCAATTAAACACACAGAATTAATATCCAGAGGTGACTATGCTCAGGTATGACTGGTGTGTTTTTCCCCTCATTAAAATGTTTTATATCAAGTGTGGAGACTCAGTGGGGAGTTTTTTCTGAAACTTCTGTAGGCAGTGATGCTTCTCCTACATACCTGTTCCCAAAAGTGCTTGAGTATGCAAAGAGGTGTCTTTAATAAACAGCTTAGTCAACTGTTACAACACATCAGCAATCCTACCTATAGCCCAGGAGAGAGAGCAGAACTGTCTGTCCTGTGCACTCTCTGTTTACTCAGAACATGTTCGAAATGTTAAGAAGTCTGGGTCTGTGGCTCAGATCAGTCAGGCAGAGATAAGAGCTGAACACCAAGTCAACAGCATGTGGGGAAATGAAGTTCCAGTGCAGGTGCTGGACATGCTGAAGTGCCAGTCATGACAGGAGGCAACGCTGACTGTACACCACCACTCATCTCAGTCACGCTGACTAATACACTAACAGGCAGACCTCTGTATCCACCACCTGCCCCGATCTTGTACTTTCAGAAATGTCTGGTTTTGCATTTTTACACTGTGAACACTCCAGATGAAAGCATAAAATTGTTACAGTTAAATGTGAATCACTGTTACGAGCGACTCAGCTGCCCTGTGCTGATATTGTGGTTTTAGGTTGTGCCGATATTCAGTAACACCTAAAAACTGATATACTGTAAATGTATATTGTCTGAAGACTTCTTTCTACCCTTGTTCCCCCTATCACATCTTTAATCTATACATCTTTAATCTATACATCTTCTCTTTTACTCATACACTGACAGCTGATATTTGCCAATATTACAACTACTAAACATTAAAAAAAAAGGCAAAAAATATTTTATTAATGTCTGAGTGCAAAGAGCCTCTGAAGCAGCAGAATCAGAATTGTAAAACCCAATAAAACTTCCCTCCAGCAGACCAAGGTTTCACAAAGTCTTTTTTAATCAGCAGCTCCTTGAGGCAAGATCAAGACCACACCACATGGGGAAACTCTTAGCATTTTTCCACACACATGCGCTGGCTTGGCTTGACTTGGTTTGACTCGGCATGTCAGCCAGGCGCGGCGGGGATTTGCATCTCTATGCAACAGGGCTACCCACTTGAAGGTACGCCTTTAACTGATGACGCACGTGTGCTTGTGAACCAACGGAATAATTTTCAGTCCGTCCTGCTAATTTTATTGTGCTTAACAACAAGTATCTCTTGGCACGGCATGAACGTACACCAGATGCCCATCTCCTCCAGCTTGCTATGTCTGGGTAGCTCAAGAACAACGCTTTGCCAGTTTTTTCCTCTAAATGAAGGCGCGTGTCTACAGGATCCATCATTTCAATGCTTCACATTCACTGTCTATGTAAGCAGCTGTGCAAAGCATTCTGATTGAGCCCCCTTGCGCTGTGAGTGACAGTGCATCAGCTCCTTATTTGCATTAAAGGTAATTCTAGGGTACGATATAAAACTAACCATCGTTGATCTAAAATGAAGACAAATTTGGCAACTACATGGCTTCTTTCTTGCCTCAAATGGTTTCAAGTGAGAAAGAGATAGTTGCCAAACAAGCCGCCATGTTTGACATCCAGGAGCTGACAGCTCACATCCCTACTGGCCCGCCCATCGAGAATCCAATGCCGGAAAGCAGCGCTACCCTTTGTGTCTAAAAGCATCTTTGACACACAGTATGAGGAAACAGAATATTTGCAGTTTGCATTATCTGGTTGAAATTCATAAACAGTTATTCAGCACTTGAAGATTCAATCATCACTACAGCGTGTGTCACACATGAGAGACAATAAAAACAAATGGAAAAGTTTAAGTTGACATTTAAGGTGTTGATTGATTTATGTCATCTCATGCATTGAGTAACACACAAGAAAACATTCCACCTTTAAAGTCGCCGGTAGCTCCCAGGGGCCTTTGGGCAGCACAGTGAATTTAATTATTTTCTCTCAGACTAAAGCTAGAGTACTGTATATGAAATATGAATCACTCTTCTGATGGTTCCTTTATTTGCGATGCATTTTATTCAAAAACGTCACTGAATTGTCACCGAATGTTGATGCTGACTAATGATGACAAAGCCCATCTGATATCGCTGCAACCTGCTTGGAGGTAGTCAGGTGCGCCTTGGCTCCACTCTGGATATGATCCATCTTGGGTGGGGCACAACTCGGAACATTTACACTGCTTATGGAAACGCAGATCAACATTGTTTGACTCTGCCAAGCAATAAGCCCCATCTGGGACACCAGTCACTACGACACACACCCAGACTAACCTGTCTCAAATGTGACCACCACAGCAATCCTTGCCCATATTACACCTCATCATCACACTGCTATGATTATATAACCAGAGGACATCATCTTTTCTTGGAAGGCTACAGGCAAAGAGGTTTGTTTTTCTCCTGCGTGCAGCTCAGGTGGCTCACTGGAATTACACAGAAAATCACGACTGCATTTCATGGGTATGGCAGTGTAATGTGTAATGTAAGCATGTTCTGAACTCAAGCAAAGGACAAACAGTGTATACTGTGGTTATACACAAGGTTCAAGGTCTTTCCAGTGGCTCATGAGTGAAATTAAGTTCTGTTTCCATCCACATTTATCTTGTATTTACAGAGCCATGAATACATGCTGAGAAGAAAGACGACACCCACAAACATCCTGGTTATCACTATTTAAGAGAAGACATTTCAGCCTCGACATGTGTTTCCCTGTCAGCAAGTACAACAACCTGACATCTACAGGTCTGACTCACCTGGGAGATCCGCACAATATACAATTACACAGTATCAGTAAATGCGTAAGGAATTGTGCGTCAGATGTGTTGATGTACCTTTTTCCCATAGAAGAAAGCGAGAACATGATACGTTTTCATCCAGCTGTTGTCTCCACACCTTAACAACACATTATTTTACAGGAAGCATTACAGAAAAGTTGACTGCCCTCTTAAAAACATGTAACAATGTGCTGAGCTGGCTAAACCACAATAGCAAGTTTGAAGGAAAACAAGACAAATGACAAATCTCTTCACTCCCACCTAAACAAGCATTCGGCATACAGTTGACACCCTGCAGCTCCCTACGTTAGTTCAACAGCTCAAATGCCCGAACCACAAAACGCACTTTGCCACAGCAAAAACTCTTAAAAGTTTTTTTAATAGAATGGAACACACCGACAAAATCTTACGTCAGCAGCAAATCGTGAACCACAGCATGCACAGGAAGAATTACTTTAGTCACCAAATACTATAGCTGTATGTTACAGAAGTGTTGCGCAAGGAAACAAGAGCTGTGAAACTTGTGTTTCTTCAGCGGGTGAAGGAAGTGACAACTGACAGAGCAGATGTAGCCAGGCAGCCGACAGATATTCAATATTGATTCATTACATTCTTTCAGGGCGAAAGAGGCACAACTGAACGCCTGCAGTTGTCAGATGGAGAATAGCACCAGTATAAGCAGGATTTAAACATCTTACCTAACTGGATCTGGTTTGACGAAGGCAACTTGTCTCTGCGCTACTCACTGACACATTAAAGAGGACTCAGAGAAGGACTATCCCTTCATTTTTGCATTTAGTGTTACAGGCAAATTCACTTCCCATACATACACTGTCGGTATGTGCACACTATATTACAATACTCATTACCTAACATGTGAAGTTGGCACACTGAACATGTGTGCAAATAAGCGCAAATTTCACTCCATGTTTGAGCCCAGAAACATTTCTGCCTCCAATGCCGTCTGTCTCTCTCTCAGTATGTGTCATATATGTTATTTCAAAGACAGAAGTGATTACAACAAAGCTGTTCTCTTGACTCTTCCTGTGCAGAGGGAAGCAGAAGTGGTCGCTCTGTTTCATGCCACTGTTCATCACAGGCATCACGATTTCCTACATGCTAGATGGTGCAAATTACATTGCACCACTATACATGTCATTGCCCCCCCACTTCCCCAAATGAGCAGGCAGGCAATGCTTAATAAAACCGTTTCTATAACAGCAAGTGAACTCAGTGAACCTTAAAGAAGACTATGAGCAAAGGATAGAAAAGTCAAATGTTTGCTACATGAATCCACAAGATACTGACATGCACACAGATTTAGGGGCTGTAGTAGCTACGCTAACCCCTTCTGGGTGCAACTTTGCGGTGCAAAATGTCTGGAGGTTGCCCTTGGTGTTTCTTTC